AGAGTGAATCCATGCTTAAAGGCTCTGAAAAACCTTCATTAGAAGCTTAATCAAGGGAATCCAAACTTCCAAGTGAGTCGTGCACTCGGATGCAAAAGCAAACTTTCAAAGGTCCCGAAACCTGGTGTGTTAGGCGTTCAGGAGCGACTGTGGTTGATCCACTGAGTTTACAGTTTGCATACAATTGTATATATACATATGGGGGGCGAGTTGGCCCAAGTGGTTAGAGTGCGAATTTACTACCGAAATGTCCGTGGTTCGAATCCGACCTCCGCCACTCGACTTTCCCTCTCTAGGCTTGGGCAACCTGGCAGTATCCCAGCCCTCGTGCTTTCTTCGGGTGGCATGGCAGCTAGGCACCGGAAGGGTGCTACAGCTGAACGCCTATACATACATACATATATGTATATAGACATAAATACGCATAGGATGGGTTACGCTAGAGTAAGCATCAGCGTATGCGGTAATTTGAGCAAGACCGAAGCGACTGAGTTGATTTGACACTCTTTGGAATACTATGGCTGATCCGCTGTCGTTATTTATTTTGATAACCGCCAACTAAAGCAATTGTACGGTAATTGCAAAGACAATTTTCGTCCTCACCTTTTTATCCAAGATGGTGAATCGTACACGCAAAACGCACTTTTCTGCAAAATCTTTGAGGGTGAAATATAACTTTTTACGTAAAAACGCCGCTTTTTGGTTGCATGTATGCTAAAACACACAATCACCCGGTCAATCCCTTTTTTACAATCTGAACGGACTGTGGCATAGCTTCAAAAGCAACTTCACAGATCTTTGTCCACTCTGCTTTTCATTGTTCAGGGAACTTGACTAGGGTAAAGTAGTACATGACGGGCACCTTTGGAGCAGAAAGAACATGTAAATTCTAAAAACCCCAACCAATTCAGTCATTCTCAAAACTATCTGAAAATTCCTTCACCGTAGGCGATGTACGTCCAACCGCAATTTGTGATATCTAATGGCATTAGACGCGGATTTCTCAATCGGTTGTGATAGATGACCTTGGAGAGTTGCTTATTTCAACAAATCATCCATCCCTATTATTTGCAGGAATTAGACGATTTCCTCTTGAAAATCCCGTAGACTTGGAGAATTCAATTACATTTTGTGAATATCGAGCGCCATCTGAGAGCAGTTCTAACACATTCAAAGAGTTGTATAGTTGAACCGGAAGATTTATTCACTATGATGGTGGTCCAGTCTAGAAACACCGATTAAAATACCGCCTTGTCATCGGATTGACACCATCCGTGGATTCCCTTGCATCGTACAAATGAACATACTCCGAGGAAGGCGAGGCTGCTTTGTTGCCTATGAAAGTAGACAGTGTTATAGGTCATTGTGAGCAGAGTCACTTCATGAGTGGAGTCGAATTTAAAACGGACGCGCATAATAGAAAAAAAAGGGAAAAAATTGCATGGCGAATAGATCATCTCTGATGTCGTCGTTGAGTCAGTCAGCATGTAACCACGTGATGTAAATCCCGTGATAGATTGATGAGTTGTGCTACATTCCAACTAAGGGCAATTTTATCACATTGCTGATCACTTGCTTGTGCACAAAGTGTCTTCTTATCACACCATTAGCTGGTAAGTCTCTGGTTTGAATACCCCAGGAGTTTCCTTCTGATACTGAACCAGCCGCGCAGTGCTTTGCGGTTTCTGGCGTAAGTAGTTCCGTTTGCACGACAAAAACCACGTTAAACACCATCGTATGGTTTGCTGTTTGCCTCCGATTTTACATCAGATACACCTAAAAGTCTTTGTTCTTCTCGTTCGTGGCTAAGTAGCCATGAGAAACAACAAAACGCTTCACCCCTTTGTCGTAAACCTGCAAGTGTAGAGGGAAACGTCCGAGAAAAATCGAATCAAAACCTGGCATCAAAGGATATAACACGCGAATGAGCAACCAATAAAAAGCAATCCTGAGTGAAAAACGGTTCAATCGCAACATACAACGAATTAGGCGTAATTCGCTTCGAATGAAATTTGGTATTGTTGTGGACCACAGTCTCCTTAATGCCTTCTCATTACCGCGAACCCCGTTCTGGATGGCCGATTGACTACCTGGTGTGCTTGGCCAAACCCAAAAAGTCAACGAATATGCAAGCCAGCTAATCTATTGATCACTGTCTCGTACAAGCGGGTATAAAAGTGATACTGAGAATACAACTCATATGTCAAGGGCGCGTGAAGAACAACCAACGAAATCTGTCCCAACGAAAAATGGTTATTCCGTTCGCAGTTATGTAGTCCCGTTACGTTTTGAGCTGGTTCGCCTAAAAGGGGGAAAGCACTTTCCTCAGAAAATAAAAACCGCGGATGTTTCCTAAGTTCTTCCACATTTGAGCTTTCCCAGGTCAACCTCCTATTGACATCCCTCTGCAAAGTCTTGGAAACGTGACGGATACACAGTACATTCATCTCAACGTGTTACATTCAGATTCAAATTACATAACAAGGTTTGCATCACAAACTTACATGGAGAAATGTCATGAGGTCAAAAGAAATTTCGCCGGCCTCTGACTGAAACTACTGTTCACAGACGGACGTAGACCAAAGTACGGCCTGAGCCGCAAACTGAATTCAGGGAAACTGGGACAACAACACGTGGAAAGTTCCGGCATGCGTCATATCCCAACCCGGCACGCCCTGATCCGATTCTTTTTGACGCACTTCAAGTCATGTCAATTATGAACACTCTTCACAAATGTCTGGTATTCACACACATGATTAGCATCCCTAATTTTTGAGTACATTGTTTCGGTAGGCCACAGGTACTTGGGTCGTCGTATTTTGTGCAAATTTTGAAATAAAACTTGTTAGGAAAAAATTCTACAAGTCATAGGGATGTCAGTTACAGTTGTAATTTCCCGAGGATGACACATTCTGCACAGCCGGCGATCACCTATCATAAAGACAACTGAGGACGTTCTGCAAAACGGATACGTTCCCATGAGTTCTCAATAAGTGCAACAAGTTGTCCGGCTGATCGATCACAACGAAAAAACCACACATTTATTTCACTGTTCTCCTACCATTACTCGTCTATTGCTTGCACACTAAACTTGGAGGCCAAACTCTGCTATTCGCGGCTTGCGCATGATCAAACCAAAAGGCGTTGTTATCTATTAATTACGACCCATTTGGGTAGCCAGCATAGTCAAACCAAAAAGCGTTGTTCTCTATTAAGTACGACCCATTTGGGTAGCCATCTTAGTTCGCCCACAGACTGGCTCAGCAAAGCAGTTGTGCGCACAGTCTGCCTAAGTGATCTTTTTGCAACCGACAGTTGTCAAAGTGTTTGGTCGCCACATCCGTGCGTTCTTTCCCACCAAGCCACACATTATGGCGAGTAGAATTCGGACATTTTATTTGTTTCTCAGTTTATTGGTATCCTCTCTCGTATCAAACGGAGCAAGTGAGTGAACATTTATTGTCCGTGTATTGATTACTTCCCATTTCATACGAACAGATCAGGCAAAATCACCAGTTGAAGCATTCAACACTAGAACAAATGATGGATATCTGGTTTCCTTTACTTACGTTTTCGTAGTAAATGAGCTGGACAACCTGCTTGTCTAATACACGCACCACTTGGTAAGTCTATTCCAAACTCATCAAGCTCTGAGAATAATAAGAGCTCTTACGACAAAGTTTATCAACTCTTACCTAGACGTTTTCGGTTGCGAATTAAGGTGTTAACCCTGGGACTCCCCCTCCCCATCCCGCACAGGTGCGTGCAATACAATATTTTCTTTAATCTATACGGCACGGTGGAAGAAATTTCGGTACCACTCAACCTACAGATTCCATTCGATTTACAGTTCTATCCACGGATGGTTCAACTGTCATCTCCGTGAAAATTGCGGGCGACAGTAATTGGGCTTTGGTCAACAATTTGATTTCGTGAGATCGCTTACAAGTATCAGGTGGAGATGTTCAAATTTCCCAAAACCATAACCTCATTCAAACCCACCGTCAGCCAATCGACATTCACTCGTTTGCATGTCACGGTTTGCGTGGTAAAACTCACCCCCGAGCTGAAGATTTTTTGCATCAAACGCAGCTAACATTTCGACGCCTTAATCCGGAAGTACTCAACTATTCATATGCCTGTTGTGAATGAGCTGGATGATGACTAGATCAGTGGAACACTAACTGAGGCCTGATCATATCTACCAACGGGGATCACACAAGTTGGCCTTCCAGGCAGACAGCATTTTTGCTGATCTGGTCGTCATTAATTGTCGCAACGCATAACTCCGGATATCGTACCGTACGACCCACTGCTTTGCCCCATTGGAATAATTCGACTCTGGCCTATGAGCGGAAGTTGCCAGCAACAGCGGGGTGTATCCGAATCTTACAGTATTCTTGATCGAGTTCTCTGTTAATTGTTTTATTGAATATGGTGCATAGCTGATTCGTTGAGTATTTCTGCACTTCAGTGTTGCTGTGCTGTTCTGCAGCTTGGCTGTCAACCAAGGGTCCAGTCATTCCGGAGTGGCACTGATACAACCAGAGGTTTTGTGGTATCGCATAGTGCGCCTGTAATTCGGGGGCTTTTACGTCAATAACAAACGAAATTTGTTAGCAAGTTGATGTAATCCCTTGTGATCTCACCCATATAACACTGCGGAATCCAGACGGCCATTGCTCATACATCTCTGCTCGACTGGACCGAGGTAGGCGCAACACTATACGGTTACAATGGGAGTAGAATTGTAGTGTGAACTCTGAGAATGAACGCTTCCGCTGGTCTACAGATTTGTTCTCTACGTATCACAAACGAATTCACACTATCGCTAACCGAAAATCCACTCGGAGCGAATGCATTTCACGTGTTACCCATTTACCCTCATTAGAACGTTGAACATATTGCACAACAATTCAGACTTCACTATCATGTGAATTTTACTTTTTTTAAACAACATATCGTTCATGAACTGTATGCAATATCAATCACTTTTGCAGATGGGAACACCGACGAACGTGTGTCTCCGCAACAGTGCACAGATAATCAAGAATACTTTGCGCAGATCAGCAACGTGGAGAAGTCAGGAGCGTCGAAGAAATCCGCACTGATACGGACTCCTGGTTTCAATCATATGTGTGCCTACTGTGATCGCTTCTTCCGCACCCCTTTCAGTTTGAAGATGTACGTGCGGACTCACACTGGGGAACGCCCGTTTGAGTGCAATTAGTGTCACTCAAGATTTAACACCAAATACACTCTTCAGAATCATGTGAAATGTCGCCATGAAAGGCCAAGTCTCCGCTGTCAACAACAAAATAATACGTCACCAAGATAAATTTAATTGGCACCAAATGTACTGGATAAAATAGACCGCTCAGTTGAGTCAGTTTGGGGTACGCCACAAAACGGAAGAGTGCCCAATACGGTTCTTTCATTCTTGTAGTATATTGGTCCCCTACTGACTGCGTCCTTTTCCGTCTTCCAATAAAATCACTTTCAGGCTCAATCGTTCTGCGTTTTCACTCAAAACCTAGGGACGTTTCCAGGCGACTGCTACATGTTTGTCAGTTATACAGCCGTGACATTGGTTATCGAAGTAAATAAAAAACACGTTTAAGTTTCCGCAAGGCGGTACCACATGACTGCTAGATTTTGGTCGGTTATACAGCCATAACGAAACAAGCTTTCCTAAATTTTCGTAACCAAACGTGTCCGAGCCGCGCGGACCACAATAAATCGATAAATCGATAATTAGGGTCGCCGTCAGAGGCACTTGCAAGCTAGTGACACGTATGCACGATTCTGAACGGAATTGAGAAAACATTCACTGGGGAGAAAGATGGCAACCGGCTCCCTAAATAAAGCTTGTTAGTCTTGGCTTGTATAAGACGGCGACTTTGTTCTCCCCTGTTCACGGCGAGCAAACAAGTTCATGAAATAAATAAACAATAAATAAACAATCTGGCCCATGCTTGTCCACATTTACAGCATGACGGATCAATAAAAACAAGGTGGACTCACAATTACCCTCGGGCCTGTATGAGCGCAGTGCAAAATCGTAAAACAACTAATCACAATAGACTTAAACAGCTTCAACCTTGATGTTAGCCCACTTCAAGTCTGTGTCGATGATCTAAGTTCAACTATGAGACTTATGAGAGATATGCAAAGCAAACCTTTTTACCCGGGAGTATTTTCGACAATCAGAATTTACAAATAAACAGGAACATCTCTGTCTAGCTCAAATTCACATTTGCGTACAATGTTCCGGTAGTGACTGTGAAAAAACAGATACATTGTAGAGACCAATACCAAACCGCATGTGGCCGGCTTTTTTAACAGGCCCCACTTCAACTAGTAATGAATGAAAACACCTGACGACCAATTATCCGGCTGATTATATGGGAAAATGACCGCTCGCCTGTTCAGATAATCCTCGTTACAAAAGCCCAACCGTCTGAGCAACCCAACTGATTCCCTGTCTTAGCCATTATCGCTCACCTCATTAAATCCGCATCAAATATTTGTCCCTAGACTCTGGTAAGATGATTGATTGAACGTCCATACATGTGCCTTTATGAATACAGTGCTAGTCTTGTGTACTCCCCATGATAGAAAAACACATGTGGTCAATTAGTCCGATGTTAGCTCAATAACAGGATCATGAGTTATCCAGACAAGACGCCAGTTAATTACGCGTCGATCCCCAGAAACTATGATCATTTCACAAGCTTGTGAACATTTGCAGCCTTCTTGGTTCCCTTTTCTACGCGACAGACGGCAACTCAGTAAGCCTAATGACACGTTGGGGAAGCCACCGAATGCGTCACTGCGGAAATTCCTGTGCAAAAAAATTTAGCCTTCAACGACTTTCATCTGCAGTCAAAAAACGGCCGCCTAAGAATATCTGTTTTGTAGCGTGGCTTGATGAGAGTGTCGGGCTGTCCGTTTTACCTTCACAGTGTGGACCGGGTCACCTATCTGGCAATCAACTTTTAACCTGAATCACTTATCGATCCTGACCTTGATGTTTGTGCCAAACTGATGGATGATTGGAAGAAAACCCCATAGATTTCTGTTGGTTCACGCATGGTCCAAATGTAACGCACCAACTTGTCTGTAGGGTAGTCTTCATTCTTTTTCTTTCAATCTAACGAAAGCCCGCTCAGCCCAACAATGATGCGATCCTCTATCCTCTGGAGAAATTTGCTTTTCATATCAATTTTGTCGTACAATCTCTGCAGTGGTGAGTCACTCTCTCGTACATACGTGGCACAATTTCCAGGATATCGTGTCAACTGATACCTGTCTTGAAAATATCACAAATGAGAGATCCAGCACTGTGGGTCTGCCATCAATGTCAAAATGCAGTTCGCTAACCTGATGAAATTTGGGTTCACGTAGAGCATAAGTTTGTCGAAAGCTAGGGGACTGCGCCTACCTGATGAGTAGGCTCGAAGCGGAAGGGTCAGTCTGTCCAAGGGACGTTGAAGAGTTCTCAGCAACCTTATGGGTAGTGTGCAATATGTCATTCCATTTTGGTACGAACACTAGTCGCCGTTTTTACTGGTAGCTGCGTCCTAGCACACCCACCCAACAACACTGCATATTCCCCGATAAGTCGTTCTACCTAAGAATCAAACTACAGCTAAGGTGAGTGCCGTTGCGTTGGGTGAAATTGTCGAAATGAGGTGAAATTTTTCTTGGATAAAGAATATCATGGCTTTCAGACCAACGATTTTGACGTCTTGTATGTCAGTCTATTTAAACATATGCCCTGATGGTGCCACCCTCATGCACACTCACTTTGTGTTAAATTGCATGGAGCTACCGTACAGTGAACGGCAATCTAGTAACATCTCCGTTCTGGTCAAGCTAGTCAATCAGAGATTGGTAGAATTCCAAACCTGAAACCTATTAGCCCGTAAAGCCTTGGATTTTGAACGTCCAGGCAATCTGTTTGGGAACTGTTGGCTTCCATGGAACAATGATTTTCCAATCACGTGTAAGTAAAAGTTGTGCTTTTCTCGACAACTTCAGTTTATAAACTGGGGCAGAATTCCGCCTTGAGTGCAATTTGTTCAGATAGCTGTTTGGTACCGATTCAAAACCTGGAAGGGCACACCTGGCGAACAGCTGCAAAGATTACATCATCCATACTCTTTTACTTGATACTTCAGACAATAAATTTAAAACAAGTGGCTCAGTTAGAGCGTCAAATTATCGGTGCACGTTGCTATAGTCACAAACTTCAGTTATACACTGCACAATGGATAACTTAGAAGATTATACTTTAGTTTTCATCTTACCTGGAAACACCCTGGCAGTTTTGTAGTCACCTGTTGAAAAACTTTCATACTTTGAAGACATTCAAAAGACACTTTTTTTAGAATAGATTGCGGATCCACTGATATCAGTGGTTGGATAAACGCTTTCTAACTGCGAAGTTCCAGACCTATTCGGTTACGAGCAAAGCGATACTAATCTAAATATCTCATCTCCACATAAAAGCGATACAATCTAAATATCTCATCTCCACATAGTTTAAGAAACATAGACATCCTCAATGGTCCTCTTCAACCTTCTCAACGTACAGATGTGGGGCAGGAGCTTGGATACCAAACCAGACACTATTAACATCTTGCATCAATGGTATATACCGTTACATCTGCACAAGTTCCTAACTTTCACGAAGCACTGAAGTGTGGAGTATACCTGCAATTTGTATAGTCTATTCGTATGTACAGATTTATAACGAATTCAGAAAAGGTATTATTTACTGGCTTTTACCGTTTTATATAATAAAAACGTCTTTAAGATAGCGAGTATTTCTGACAGACACGGAAGTATCGCAATGAATGTAACTAGACCACTATTTTAAGACTGATCAGGTCATGCAAATTAAAGGACATCCTTAGCGTCTGCAGGCACATAGAAATTACCTGGCTTAGACAGATAATCCGATCCACAAGAGAGCTTGGTTTCTGCGGGCGATCCAACCGGATCCAACTGAAATTCCAGTTTGTAATGATCGAAACGTTTTTTACCAACCCATGAGGAGTGTGCTACTTTTGGACAATCGTTAACTTAACAGACTTTGTACATTTTTATTAAAAAATTAGTAAATAAGCCCAAATTACAGTTTGTAATGATCGAAATGTTTTTACCAACCCATGAGTAGTGTGCTACGTTTGGACAATCGTTGACTTAACAAACTTTGTAAATTTTCATTAAAAAATTAGTAAATAAGCCCAAATTATTTCAAATCGATTGAGCTTACTGCTATTCTGATCGAAGATACAGCAACTACAGTAACACACCTTAGAATCGGGCATTTTTTGGAAAACGCCATGACAAAATATGCAGACCAACGAAACCAATTGGATCCATGACGTTTAGACCTATGGTGCGATGCCAGTGGGCAGTCCTGTGGGCAATGACCCGTCAGGTGTGCCCCTACCTGACAATCTCTAAATAGGGCCAGGCTAGTCGTGGCTGTTCCAGCAATCATATGAGCAGTTTTTTACACGTTAACCTGTCAGGTGGTTTGATAGAATATCTCCTTATTCACTTTATAACAGGCAAAATATGGGTTCAACTATGTAAGTTCCGTCGCGATAAATTTTCAAATGCGAGTTTTTTCCAATTGAACTGCCTCTATTACTTGGCTTCACCGGTTTTAGGTATGACCGAATGTGTTTGGTGAACTAATGTGGATTGTGAATCTCTTACTATCTTTGTGCTACTAAGGCATCACTCGTTGGTGTACCAACTTTGAAGTATGAAGTCAACTTCCAAAAGCGTTGAGTCTGCACTCAGACATAACGAAGCCGATTTTATGTGTACTCACAGAAAGTACTGTTTGAACTATATACAGAACGACACGCTATCTTTCAACGCAGAACCCCACTTCTCGTAACGGTTACATAAGCGTATATTCATCTCAGAAGGACAGGCGACTTATGATGACTCAACACGTGACTGAAACATAACGATGGCACCTTACGAACTTGGATTTCCGAATCCTTCTAATAACCCCAGGAACGTCCGTAGTCGTCCTCATCTACATCGCTCTACCCATTGTATCACCACTGGGTGACGGGTGCAGCCTGTTCCAGAGACTAGGCTTTCCACAGCCACTACCAGGTAGATTTGGACAACCTATCACCAAATATTTTGAG